CAAAATTAAAAGGTCTGTTCTCCGTCGTTGATCCAAATAGAATTCTCAAATCTATAAAAGTCATTAGCCTGTATTCTAAAAAGTAGATAATTTTTGTTTTAAAATGTAAACATTTGTTTTTATTTTCTAATCTTTTTAAAACAAGATTTTTTTTTACCATGAGATGTTTTCCTTTACTTTAAAAGTAAAATAAAGCCGTGCAGTGGGATGTTGTGAATGCAATCAACTTGTGTTTCGTGCGTGCATGTGGCCTTAAGAAGTTGCGAGCGCCGTAAAACTCTTATTAAACTAACTGCAGAGCGTTGCTCCATGATGTACAGCAGAGCAAGCTTCTGGATTCCAACTCGTAGCTGGATCCGCCACGTGCCGTCTCACACACACACTCGGCGATACACAAATCGGAAAGCTACTGTCGTTATGTGGACACCAAAAATTCTGCACACACTCGAAGTGTGTATAGCGTTGTGTATAGAAATAACGAAATAACAGCGTTATTCGGACCGGAACCAAATTCAAAAATATTTTAACACATGATGTAATTTTTGGCGGGAAATGCGATGGTGACCTTAAAACATTATGTGGACGTCTACATAACGGGGCATGTCTACATAACGTGAGTGTGCAAATATACAATTGTCTACATAACTACGCAAAGACACACACACACACACACACACACACACACACATACACACACACACACACACACACACACACACACACACACACACACACACACACACATTCATATCATATAACATACACTCAAACCAAAGACTATGGAGCAGTATGTTACAAATTTGATCAGCCCAAAGGAAGATCAAATTGAAATCCTACAGAACTTACATAATTTGTCTCAGGAAATGTGTTACATTTTATCATTGACACCACCATCAGTGGCCGGATATATCTGGATGTGTGAAACATCTAAAAAAAAAATTATATACAGAGAGACGAAGTTTCACAACTGCTGTAACAAGTGTTACATTCTACAACGTGTATTAAATGAGCAAGACAGTGTGCAATGGTGAATTTAAACGAAAAGTACCAGACAAGGAAGACAAGGTAAAATAAACCAATGGGTCGCAACAACTGGGAGAATGAGTGACGCTTCGGTCGTAAGTTTATGTTCACGTCAATTGTTAAAGACTCGGTAAATAGTGACCCGTCACCTTACTTACGTTTTGTGTAGGAGCTGTGGGCGGGGCTTATAGGTCATGACGGACCACACGCATTCCTCGCCTGCAGCTGAAAATGTATTGTTACTGGGTGGTCAACTTGGATAAACAAGTGGGTGGGACCTGACCTCCCCAACATGATCAGACATCGGAGGGACAAACAATAACTTTAGGCGAATGGATCATGACGGCTCGTCCACAAGGGACATGAGAGAAATGAAGCTCACTTGGAACGAGCTTGGAAGGATGGCTCAGGACAGAGATAAATGGAAGGAGCTTGTATGTGGCCTATACCCTGCCAGGGGTGAAAGGCATTGATGATGATGATGAATGGATCATGACGGCTCGTCCACAGCGTCAGGAGCCAATACATAATTTATGACAAAGTGTCGGACGAAGAAACATTTGCGTGGCCGTTCAAAGACATTTTTTTCTCGATTTTTGTAGATAAAATAGGGTGGCCTCGGCTGCCTTGCACAGGTGACCGTTTTACACTGTGAAATTATAATAATATAGCCTTAACGGCAGGTTCGACTGTATGTCGCTTTTTAAAAAAGGTAATGGTTATGGGAAAGACCTTTAGGTACGATGAGAACATTAGGCACCTGGACGTGACACACAGAAGACTTAGGTTCAATTCCCTTGTGCTGAGAATTTTTTTTATCAAGTTCACGTATTTCCCCCTTTATTGGGACATCATATACTCCTCCAAGCACAAGTTCGCCTCTGCATGACGTAACGAGCAACAAATTCAATTTTTTTTTAACGTTAACTTTTCTTTTACTCCTAGCTAATTGTTCATTTCCATTCTGTTGTTTTTTGCTGATATTGTTGCCCCACATGTGTTGATTATTTTGCTTGCGTTTTTCTTCTTTTTCCTAAGTCGGTGTTTTGTTTAACTATAATTTAAAAGACTAAGAGGACACATAATATGTCCGATCACCAACAGAATAGAAGCAAAACTGCAGGACATTTAGAACCACCATATTACTAATCAGAGAACATATTTGCATTTTTTTTTATATTGTTATTGTGGTCGAGTTTATGTCCTTCAATAAAAAAAAAAAAAAGCCTAGTAGAAATGAATCTTGTGAATGGATATCGAATTTAGTCTTCTTTCTTTAAGTATCCCAAAACAGACGAGTCTTCAAACGTTGTCGAATAAATAGAACGGGCACCCTGAATGTGTTAATTGACGCTGCTGTTGCTGATGTTTTTTGTGGACATGTCGAACATGGCTCTTCTGACAGTACATCAGTGTATTCCGCTGTCTGAAGGATCGTTCTATGCTATCAGGCTGCTTATTGTTAAAGACACCACTTTAGAAATTCCTTTAAAATTGATCAATTAAAGAGAAAGACATGAGTCTTGCAAACTTAAAGCACAAGTTTAAAAATCCTTAATTTAAAAATATACTCCAGTTTAACGCATTCCTGTTCTTCACGATAATTACTGAGTTTACCGTAGTCACATACTACTGTTGGTGGGTGCTCTGGTGGGGTTTATTCTTTCATTTCAATTTTTTTTAAACAACTTATATCGCCCTTATCTCTCCTGAACCACAAAGGAATCTTAACGTTCGCATCTTGCACTTGGGATCTCCGAGATTTTTCACCCTTGTCCGAGAAGGCTCGGGTGTTGATCTTTCCTTCAATAAGATCAGTGGTGTGGCTGAAAAACTGCAGTAGACAGGCTGCAGAAAAGTTAGGAGCCCAATGGAGGGTCCAAAGAAGGTGAAAGGGTGGGGTATGTAAGAGAAGACGAAAGCAGACAACAGAACATTGCTCGACAACATGAAAGGATGTGAAAGTAGAAATTTTTAGAGAAGACAATTTTCCGTCGCTATCCGGATTCGAACCCGGGAACTATTGAATAAGAGGCGAACACCTTATCTCTGGACCACGAGATCCCCACGTTTGTTTGTTTGGTTGGTTTTTGTGGGTTAAAAATAATAATTCTTGTTTAGGCGTTATATGGCTTCAAAATTACATACAATTTAGACCTTTTAGGAGGCAAGCCTTGAGCCCGAATGAAAACTGACAGGAATACATCGTCACAGAAAAAAGGCCGAGATACTTTGTAAGAATTCTCACAATACGGGAATTGAATGCAATACTTTTGCTTATGACGATATAATGCTTTATGCTCTTGGACTCGAAACCTTTAGGTCGTGGGTTCGAATCCCGTCAAGGGCCCGACGTTTAGTCTTGGGAAATGTACTTTAAACGAATTTTCCGCACTTTACCAGGTGGGAATGGGTACCCAGCTATAGACAGTGAACGATCTTGTCACTTTGTTAGTGTTTGAGCTCTTAGCTGCTTCCACTGTATAATTTATGCTTCCCGCGACCGGGAAGCAGATAATGTTATTGAGTGTTCTATGGTCTGCTTGGGGTAGTACCAGTAGAAATGTTGCAGAAAGAGTCAAGAGCCTACAGGAGGGGGAAAAAGGGGTGATGGAGTGCAACAATAGCGACAACAATAACAACAACAGCAATAATAACAACAACAGTAACAAACAATAAAAACAACGTGAAGAATAGCAACACAGAAGCACCAACACACAACCAGTTGTAGAAGCACGGAAACAAATATCATGTACTTGATAATGTGAGACATAATATAACAATAACAAGTGGGTATTTTTAAATTTACAAATTTTATTGAAAACATTGATAATATGAAAAGAGAAAAAAGAACATAAAGATACATTATAATGTTGAACAGGACACATTGACAAATGTACAGTGACTTTCAGGGAAAGAATTATTGATATCAGTTAGATTTTCTCAAATTTTTTTCTAGTGTGTTTTTGCTGGGTTTTATATTTCATATTTTTTGTATTATTATTATTATTATTATTATTATTATTATTATTATTATTATTATTATTATTATTATTATTATTATTATTATAGTTATTATAGTTATTATTGTTATTATTATTATTATTATTATTATTATTATTATTATTATTATTATTATTATTATTATTATTATTATTATTATAGTTATTATTATTATTATTATTATTATTATTACTATTATTATTATTACTATTATTATTATTATTATTATTATTATCATTATCATTATCATTATCATTATCATTATCATTATCATTATCATTATCATTATTACTATTATTATTATTATTATTATTATTATTATTATTATTATTATTATTATTATTATTATTATCATCATCATCATGATCATTATTATTATTATTATTATTATTATTATTATTATTATTATTATTATTATTATTATTATTATTATTATTATTATTATTATTATTATTACATGTTTTTGTGGGGGGGTTTGGGGGGAGGGGTTTATACAATTAATGCAAGTTGTGATTACACAAAAATCAGTATTGGATTCTAAAATGTCAGTTTCGAATACATATCCTGGATTACTAACTCAGGGCGTGATGATCAATGATGTACAATTGACACAAACAAAAGTTATTGTCTTCAAGTTAAGCTGATCAAACAAATCCTTTACGGAAGTATCAAAATGTAATATTCTGAACACGTTTTTATTTCTGAATATGAACATATCAAGAGTATAATCTCTCACATACATTTCAAACTAAAAGAATTTAACATGTTTTTCCTGGTTTCTTATGTTTTCCTTTTGAATATACAATATTGCTAATGACCATTACAGCAATTGTAACATTAAAACTTTTCAAATGTCAGTCCCAATTACGTCATACCACGAGCTGATAATGTTCATCAATTATGTACAATTCTAAGACAACTTGCATGCAAAAAGCTGCTCTTGTCTGTTGGGTTTTTTGGGGGTACTTTTATATTTTTAGAGAGGAAAGGGAGGGGGGGAGGGGGCTGGAAGTTTCTACAATTATTGCAACCTTTGATTGCATTCAAACAGTATCAGTTTCAAATACATATCCTGGATAACTGGCTCGGGGCATGACGATCAATAAAGTACAATTAACACAAAGAAAAAGTTATTGTCTTCAAGTTGAGCTGGTCAGACAAATCGCTTTATAAAGTATCAAAATGTAGTACATGTATTCTGAACACGTTTTTCCCAATTTTGAATATTAACATATAAAGAGCACAAGCATTCTTTATTAAAAGTAATGAAGTATGATATACCTTGTTTCTTATGTTTTCATTTCATATATATTATACAATATTGCTTATGACTGTAACACTAAAAATTCTCAAATATCAGTCCCAATTACGTTATACAATGTACCACTAGCTGATAATGTTCATCAATTATGTACAATTCTAATTCGACTTACATATCCTGGATAACTAACTCAGGGCAAGATGATCAATAATGTACAATTGACACAAGCAAAAGTTATTGTCTTCAAGTGGAGCTGGTCAGACAAATCGCTTTATGAAAGCATCAAATTGTAGTATCATGAACACATTTTTTTCAAGTGAATATGAACATATCAAGAGCATACTCTTAGCAAATATTTAAAACTAAAATTATTGCATCATGCTGTTTCTGATTTATTATGTATTCATTGTTGTATACAATATTGCAAACGGCCAATTAAAAAAAGGAACACACTGTGATTGCATGATAACATGTTAAAAACCATAGAATAGTGGATTGATAAGGCACACATTCAAAACAGTATTTGATTCGTAAATGTCAATTTCAAATACATATCCTGGGTTGTTAACTCAGAGAATGATGAGCAATAATGTACAATTGACACAAGCAAAAGTTATTGTCTTCGAGTGGAGCTGGTCAGACAAATCGCTTTATGGAAGTATCAAAATGTAGTAACCTGAACTTATTTTTCCAAATTGTGAATATGAACATATCAAGAGCACACACACTTCAAACTAAAAGAATTGCATCATGTTATTCCTGGTTTCTTATGCTTTCCTTTTATATATACAATATAACTTATGACCATTACAGCTACTGTAACAAAAACTTCTCAAATATCAGTCTCAATTACGTTATACTACTGGCTGGTAATGTTCATCAATTATGTACAATTCTAAGACAAAGAGCTGCTCTTATCTTGTTCTTCCGTCGGTGAGGTTTAATTCTTTATGAAGGGATCAAGAAGTGACTTTCTGCACAACTAATACGTATGTTATACATGTAGAACATAGTGATTTAAATTTGTATTTTCATCGGGTTTTTAAACTGTACAATAAGAATATTTGGCATTTTAAAAAAAGAAATGCAAAGTGCTCAAAATCACCAATTTGTTCCAACAAAAAGCTTAAAAATTTGCCTCACAGAACTCTATTCAGTTTTTCAAAAAGGAAAACATTGTAACAACGGGTCGACGGGTAAGAAATCGAAATAAGGGGATATTTTTGTTTGTTTTGTTTGGGGTTTTTTTCGTAAAGGTGGGGGGGGGGGTGTAGAATGTTTCTGTGTTTGTTTGTTCAATTGTTTGTTTGTTTTGGGGAGGGGGTGGACTAGGGTCTTATACAATTATTACAAGTTATGACTGTATTCAAAACAGTATTTGATTCTAAGATATCTGTTTTGAATACACATCATGGATTTCTAACTCGAGGCATAATGATCATTCATTTAGAATAAATACAAAGTGCTCAAGATCATTAATGCATGGTAATACTATAGTGAAATGATACACAATTATGCAGATTTCTGACACAACCTGTTTGAGAAGAATTGTCTCTATTGTTACACAGATTACTCCCGATACCGTTGAAATGTAGCAGGTTGAAAGTACTCAGGAACTGACGAAGGTACCACGTACTGGAAACAAGCTGTAGGGTCAGGCTGGTAACAGTTTTGATGGTGTGTGCGAAACTGAGAGTGTCCCAGTGACGGGGGAGCAGGTTGCTGAACTGTGCGCTGATTTGTGTCTGTGAACACAGGCCATTGGGCTCTCTGTAGATCCAACGTAGACTGGTGATATTGTGAAGAAGAGACATCCACATATTGGGGGAACTGGGCTGTTGTTTCTCTCTGATAGGCCGAGGAATCGAAATGTGTACCTGCCGGGTGAAAGGTTGCTAGTCCATTGCTCTGGTTCATGTAGTAGTACTGTGTCGGTGTCTCACGTGGGAAATACTGAAGGTTTCCAGAGTGCGAGGGGTACACGAACTGTTGGTCATATCCTGAATGTTGATAGCTGAACTCGTTGAAGGGATGGCAGAATGATGAAGATGGTGTCTGTTCGATGGGTGAGCTTCCGAAGTACGGACTCGCTACTTCCTCGCCGGTGCTGTTGTATGTGATTGGTGCAGTGATGAGAGATTGAGCAGTGGTGTTTTGTCGGACACGAAGTTCTGTGTGACCGTTGGTGCTGAGGATTTGTAGGATCTGGGAGACTGAAGCACGCTCTGTCGGGTTTGCACACAGTAGACGGTGTACACATTGCCTGTAAGAAGGCGAGATTGCTTTGTCACTGTCCAACAGCTTTAAGAAGTCCGTGTTTTTCTGGGGCTGTTTACGAAACACAAGTGCCCACAGCAGAACGCCGACACAGAAACTCTCAAGCTTGAAAGCGTCTTTCACGGGATGGCCCCTTGTGAATTCCGGTCCGTGGTAGGCTGCACAACTACCCCATTCCTTCAAACTGTCCGTGTTTTCAGGAACTACCTGAGCGTGTCCAAAGTCACAAAGTTTTGCCACTCCATCTTTACTCACCAACACATTTTCCAGTTTTACATCACCGTGCACGACACGTCGGCTGTGTAGATAGCTCAAGGCCTCGGTGACCTGGGTAAAGTAGCGAGTGGCTTCCTCATCCGAGATACGAGGTAAGGCGTCGAACAGATCCACAGGATGAAATTCCAACACCATGACCAGTGACTCTGGGCAACTAGCCGCTCTCTCCATTGCTATGATGTTGGGATGACGGAGATCTTGAAGCATGGCCACCTCGTTGACGAAATAGAACCATTTCCTTGGTTTAT